CTTTCTTATTTCTTACTATTTTTTCATGAAACTTTTACTGTTCTTTTTGTCTAGATTTCCTGATTAAAATGACACCAAACATGATATAATTACGTTAACAATTGTGTGTTTAACGAGTGATTAAAGTTTCTAACATAAAAGAGGACGGCAAATGGAAAAGAAAGAGAAGCAGAAAGTTGACGCGTTCGGCAAACATGAAAGACTCGTGCGTGTTCTGTCTTTTAAATTTAAAAATTAAAATTATTTATTTTTGGTTTTTCGTCAATGGAACTTTTACCATCGTATTTGTCTCGTTTTTCTGATTAAAATGACACCAAACACGATATGATTACGATCGTAATTACTTATGTAACAAGCCATAAAAGTTTGGGATGTAACATTTACGGTAGAGGTGCGAATTCCTTCTAAAGGCTTGCTATACAAGTAATTATGATTTTAATTATACCGTGTTTAGTACCATTTTAATTCGAAAAACGAGACGAATACGATAATCAAAGCTTCATTGATGAAACCCCAAAAATAAAAAATTTTGATTTTTGAATTTAAAAGACAGAAAACGCACGAGTCTTTCATGTTTGCCGAACGCGTCAACTTTCTGCTTCTCTTTCTTTTCCATTTGCCGTCCTCTTTTATGTTAGAAACTTTAATCACTCGTTAAACACACAATTGTTAACGTAATTATATCATGTTTGGTGTCATTTTAATCAGGAAATCTAGACAAAAAGAACAGTAAAAGTTTCATGAAAAAATAGTAAGAAATAAGAAAGTTGTAATCTTTTCCTTTGCTTGCATTAGTGTGTGTCTCACCGATATTCGATCCTCGTCGTTTCGGCGACTGATTGTGTTTCATTCTTGACTAATTTCGAGGGAGATCCCCCCAGTAGTGGGGATAGAATTTTAACATTTACGGTAGAGATCTTTTTAACATTTACGGAGTGAATACTGTATACGCTATTACGTTTTACGATTCTTCCACGTTTAATAGTTCAATACGTTATTGTGTTTTAATTGTGAATTAATAGTTGTGTTCTTTTTAATAAAGAATAGTTATTAAAACTCTATTCCTACATTAATGTAATAGATATGATGGTGAAGTTTCGTTTTCTAAATGGAACTGTATATTTTTTTTCTATTGAAAAAAAATTCTAGCGATAATGCTTTTCAAGACGAATTTATTAAGATTTAATGTAATTACCCGATTTTTATTAGTCTTCGAAATACGCTTAGAAATTTACTGATTTTTAACAGAAACGTCGCCATTTGAGTAATAAACTATGGTCTGAACGGCAAGTCTGAAGAACAAGAAACGTGGAAAGAACTGTCCATTACGGTCTAAGTTTTCCGCATCAAGGATGACGTTGTTAATAATTTCACTTCGTAAGGGCGAGCGGAAAAGTCTTTAAAAACTCATACTTTTTACGATTAATTTATTAAATGAAAAAAATTACAAAAAATATTTCGAATGAAAGTTGCTAGGGTCTCAAAAATACGTGTTTTATCTTTTGTGGACTTGTGCAGTATGATTGATAATTGTCTTGACAATTGAGGTTTTAAATATATGGCTGTACTTTAATATAATAATCTAGATTCATCATACAGTACTGATTCGTAATAAGCAACTCGCTCGGGTCTGGCGAGTTGCTTGTTACGAATCAGGTATATTTTCGGCTTGCCTTTGTTCCCGAGCGCGACGACGGTAGCGGTAAACTATAAAGTAATCGGTCGAACAGCGATGTTATTCTTTAGACAAGGACAGAACATAGCATGTTTTCCTGGCGAGTTGTTTGTTACGAATCAGGTATATTTTCGGCTTGCCTTTGTTCCCGAGCGCGACGACGGTAGCGGTAAACTATAAAGTAATCGGTCGAACAGCGATGTTATTCTTTAGACAAGGACAGAACATAGCATGTTTTCTCTTTTTAATAGTAGTAAGATTTCGTGAATGGAATAATATACCAGATTCGTAACAAGCAACTGCCCAAACCCGAGCGAGTGGCTTATTACGAATCGATGTAGAATCAGATGAATGAACGACAGAATCGCTATGCATCAGAGTGAGAAAAAAATATATATGTTCTGTCCTCTTTCCACTAAACTGTTCGGTCGTCCGTGAAAATTTATGACTTCTTCGGTTTCACGGACATCTCACTCTTTCTCGGATCTCTCACTCAGCGGCCGACTTCAAACAAAGAAGAGGGGATAAAAATTTGCTTGTTACGAATCACAAAACTGTTGCTTGTTACGAATCAGTACTGTATTATAATAATCAAAGAAAAAAAATTTGAAAAAGAAGTTTGTATGTGATTCCAAATACATACTTTCTTATGTATTTCTGTTTTCTCTATCAAATAGTGCACTTTAGACTTATCACATATTTAATATGGCAAAGCTTAAACAAAAATATATCATAATTTAATTTCAATAAAAACTGCCAAAGTAATAAGTGTATGTGAAAAATGTATATAACATTTGTAGCGTCTTTATAGTGTATATATGTATAAAACCTAAACCATTTATGGTTATAAGTGACGTCAAGGAAAAACCCAAATTGTTTTAGGGCACCATAATTTTCAAGCAATATTAACCGTACTTAACCGTCATACTGTAAACCGGTCCCTAAAAATTAGGATTTTTTCCAACTAAGTACCTGCACAACCTAACCGTTAGCCCAGCCTTCCTCCCTCTATCCTTTTCCTCCCTCTACAACGCATCCTGCGATTGGTACAACTACAACTCTATTACAAGAAAAGTGTTTTCTTCACACCTACCGAAATGTACAAAAAGCAGAATCAATCTAACTCTCAAGAAGTTAACTTAAAACCTATTACAAACCTATAGCTGAATAAACACATTCAGCAGTCTAAGTACATGTATTTTGTAAATTCTTTTAAAACCTAACTTATACAAAATCGAGTTCACCCCGCACATTGGGTGCAACAATCGTGCTGCCTTCAAAAACATTGCGAAGAGCACGACACAATAACATTTCTTGTGGAGTTTTGCAGGAGCTTTACTTTTTGTTTTAAACTTTTTCTTGCAAAATCAATATTTTCAAAGATACACAGCAAAAATTATCTAAACTTTGAAAAAGTGTAGCAAAGAAAGGTTACAACTTTTGTGAACTGTACCTAAATTATCTGTGTTATAATTTACAGGTTGAACGACTGTCAGAACATCTTTTCAGTCTTGAGGCAAAAAGATGGAGACCTTTAAGGGCCTGCCTCTCGCCTATTTTTACTTCGGGAAAGCTGAAAGAAATGTTTCACTTGCTAGTCGAATGCGGAAATCACTTTGAACAGTACTTAATTAAATTAGTTAAGAAAGGCGAAGACATCCCATGTCGTGAGATTTGTTCAAAATATACCACAGATGTGATCGGTTCTTGTGCGTTTGGGATAGAGATGAACGCATTAGCAGCAGAAGACAGCGAATTTCGTAAAATGGGCAGACAAATCTTCCAAACAAATTTTAAATCTGTCATTAAAGATAGATTGAGAGAATACCCATTCCTATTTAACCTCATCGGACCATTCTTTGCTGATAGGGAAGTCGAAGACTTCTTCACAAGAATCACCAATGAGAGTATAAACTATAGGATGCAGCACAATTTTAAAAGGCACGACTTTATTGATACTTTGACCGAGCTGAAAAAGGATTCACGAAAAGTCAGCGATGAACGTAAGCTACGTCTCCTTATTTGGCATTATCTTCTTCACTCACGTTACTACCATCATCACAGATCAGTTGCGGAATGAATGCACGTCCTTTAGGTTTTATCCGTAACGATAGAATCACTGTTTCTACCCTTATTTTAAGATATTGTATGCCGCATATGTTAAAAGCTTTCAAGTTTTTGAACATCTAAAGTAAAAGTTTTCAAATTTTTGTATTTCAGTCTTGTGAAATTTGCAGTTTTCAAATTTCTAAATTTTCGAATTTATAATTACCTCAAGTTCCTCTAGTCAACAAATTTCTACGTTTACAAATTTATAAAGTTTTGTAGCCATCTTATTTCAGGATAGGGTTTTGGTAGACGTAGGAATTCGCAAAAGGATAACAGGTATTCTGGAAATAAGGAATATTTATTTTGGAGGTTAGGAGAGCGTACAGGAAATATCGAAGTTACAAATTTCTTTCTCAACTAACATAGTACGGTTATTTAACTCTCTCTCTATCTCTATCTCTCTATCTCTATCTCTATCATCAACCAGGCGTCCAGGAGTAACTCTGTTCTCTCTCGTTCGTATGGCGGCCAGGTATTCTCTCCGAACTCTCCATTCCGAACGGGCGACCAGTAGTTTTCTCCCATACTCTCCTGTACTTTACCTGGGGCGTCCAGGAGATGCTCTGACCTCTCTCAGTCGACAGACGTCCAGGAATATTCGCCGAACTCTCCATGTCGACCGAGTGTCCAGGAACGAACTCACCTCTCCCCACCATTTCCCACCTAAGTGTAATTTCTAGTTTTCATTTCTCCCGCGTTTGCCTATTTCGCCCCAGTCTTCGTCCACAACGCTACATGAGGCCATTGCTCTCGGTAAAAATTTCTCCTTCCTCTCTCCTGTCGATTCCACTCAGTCCCCGTTGTCGCCCCCTAATGGTGCCATGACCAGGCTGACGACTGGGTTCCTTGCTGAATCAACAGTTGATCGGAAGGGTGCTCGATTCGATTTGATTTCTCTCCCTCCTCACCCCGCTTCGTCGGTCCCCGTTTTGTGCCCCCTAATGGTGCTATGACCAGGCTGACACTGGTTTCCTCCCTTGCGGGTTTGAGTCGTTTGATCGGTCGTGTCTATATTTATTTCTCCGCTTCTTCCACTCTTGCTCTTCCTCTTCTCCCTCTCGCTGTCTTCTCGCTTCTTCCCCTCCTCTTGCCGTTTGAAAAGCGCACCATGCCTCCGCCGTCTTGCTTGTTGCTGCATCCTTTCGCTTCACCCTTTAGGGCCGCTCTCCAAGGGCTTGCAGCGTTCCTTCCCTCGCCATGCTGGATATTCTGGTTATTCTCAGTGCGGCCCCTTTGCTCCACCATCGTTGTGACTTCGGAGTTTCCAGAGTGCTGGAGCGTTTTCCGCAGTTCTTCCAACACTTTTCCGTCATTTTCCCGCTTTGCACTGTTCCTCTGCACTCGCGCACGTGGTCATGTGTATTCCCCTGTACCCGCAATACAGTGTTCATTCCATATAAGCAAAAATGTCCTTTCCGATATAAGCACAAATGTTATCCCCACCACTGGGGGGAAGACCCCTCGAGACGCCCGAGGTTCGCTCGCCGGGAAATGTAACGTGACCCGGGTATTAGTGTATCCGTGAGACAATACCAATGCAAATATAA